CCTTGACAATTTTTCATGCTCGATGAACATGCGTAACATTGGAGAGAAACATTGGCATCTAAAAAATAGAAGAAAATAAGCCGGTTAGCTTTGGTTTCGAACCCCCTTTCAAGTTCTTGTTGGACAGTTGTTGTGGAGATGTTGTATAGCATGTGTTTTTGATATCTGCCCGCACGAAAAAACATCTTCTAAGTTACGCCACACCCTTAAGGGTGTACTGACGTATCCGCCAATCGGAGAAGCGGACAGGCGCGCGTTTTCATGGCGGGAAAATTTTTACTTCCGGTGGAAAGGTTTTTGTTTACATAACATGTATGGTATAATTTAAAAACTATAATCTTCGGTGCGAAACATGAAATGGACGTGTTTTTTCAATATTTATGTTCTTTACAGCCTCCTCTTCAGAACCAGGCATGGGTTTGTCGAAAAATTAAAAAATACGAAAGTTATTGGCATTTTTCACTTATTTGTGGCATTTAAAAAATCGTAAAAAGCTCATTTGGCAATCATTCTAAAAACGCATGCTTGGCTTTACGGACTTAAATCTAAAGATTAATTTCATCAATTTTAAATCGTTTAATATACTTTGCTTGATGAAATTATAGCATTTTTTCGTATTAATGACGTCACGCRATGACGTCATGCAATGACGTCATAGAATGTGTTGTTTTTGTTTGGGAAGGCTTAATACTCAATACGAAAGCGATTTTACTTTTGTTTGTCATTTTAGAGAATTACTGAATTTCCCTAGCAACGGATATGTCAGTACACCCTTTACATACACTTTTCTCTATTCTATACTTCTACTTCTGAGGAAAGGGAGAGGGGGTTAAAATATTCCCTGATTTAATCACTTGTTTTCCATTATTACAATGCATTGCATTATTACTTTCAGTTGCAAGCCGTATGTTTTTAAAGTACAAGTGACCGAAAACGAACATTTTATCAGCGCGGTTGACACAGAATAATCCGATTTTTTTTTATTTTTTTTATTTATTTATTTTTTTTTTGTAGAAACACAATGTTTTCAAATTTTCCGCGCGCCTGAGTGATCATCGCCGTATGTTAATTAGGCGGCGTCGACCAACATGTCCAGGCATTCTTCGCCATGCAATAATTTTAATGTAAATACTTACGCGATGGTCGGTTTACAGTGTTAGTGGGACCTTAAAATATAGAAAAAAAGAAGTTATCTAATTGAGGACTTCAAACAAGACACCAGGTCAAGGCTGCCTATTGGGTGACTAATGACACAATATGGAAACGAGTTCGTAAAGGTCACAGTGAATCAAACACCGCAAAAAATTTCATGCCTCAAGAGGTATATGGTATGTTATTTTCTGTTAAAGTATGTAAAAAGTTAAAGTAAAGAAAAGAAGATATCAGAAAAATATAAGGAATTTGTGGATTATTTCCGTTAAACTCGGCTATCAGCTTGAGGATTCTATTTAAACAGGTTTTTCAAAGACAGATACAGAAATATGGAAATCCTACCGGTTTGACAATTTTTTCCCGAAAAGCCAAGGCGACAGCGGCAAGTAGGAAATTTGTTGTAGCAGAACTGCGTCCCACCATTAAGGCAAACTATGCCACTTCTTCCACCACATCCACCATCTAATTAAAAAAAAAAATTGCTTTTATTTTTTTCATGCATGAAAAATGGCTTTATTTCAAAACTACAACCTATTGATAGTTTTCAACCATTCCCATGAGAGTGACCAAAACAAAAAGGTCCACCAATCACGGTGGTGGTTTTCTTTTGTCAGGTCCACCAGCAATGGCGAACATCTTTTGTTCAACTTTCTCTCCTGGGAATGGTTGAAAACCATCAATACAAATATATGACTCATTTATATCTATTTAAAACTATTGCGGGAAAATATTTGTCTTGGAATTGTCCCACATCAGAGAAATTTTGAATCAAAAGATTGAAGAACAAAAAGATGGAGTAAATGACGTCATCTACTCCAACATTTTTTTGTCAAAATTATTAAGGATTTGTATAAATATCTTCTTGAAACCTGTTGCTTCATGATTATTAGACCCATATGGATAGGTCTCTTTGATTTCCAAGTTTTTTCTAATGCTTCGCAATGTTTCGTCCAAGCAGCCCTTTAGTATAGTCTGCATATTTCAAAAAGTATATCTGGAGAGGATTGAACATACATCTAACACTACTATGTCCGCTAAGCGAAAGTCAACTTTTTTTAATACAAAGTTAGGGACGGTCCCTTTAGCTTTTGAGGGGGGGATGATTTTGAAAAAAAAATCCTGCAAGCCATCTTCACCAAAACTAAAAATCATGCACAACATATGGACCTGAAAAAAAAACTTGCACCACCCTAAGCCAAAAAAAATGTTACATACAAGAAAAAAAAATCCTACACACCACCAAGAGAAAAAAAATATCCTACCCAAAAGCAGCGAAGATAAAAAAAATCTTGCTCACAATAAATCATCCAGCCCCCCCCTCCTCAAAAGTTAAATGGACCGTCCCTTATTATATATTTTATTTCTTTGACATGTTACCTTTTGCTGCATACTGCTGTGTTATCTTTTTAATCCAGTCAACAAAGCTACTGACTCGTGCAAAGACAGTATAAAACTCTTCTGCAGAACACTTAGCGTGCCCCCAACTAACAACACCACGAAGAATCCAATGTCCACGTTCGTTACAGGCCAGCGGTCCACCACTGTCACCTCTACACCCTCCCTTGCCCCCTCCCCCTGCGCAGACCATCGTCTTCTCGTCAATTTCGATATTCAATTGATTATTTACAGCTGAGCAATGCCAAAAAGCTGCAATRGTCAGTGGTGCCTCTTGGAGAACATGCGCAGCAGATTCTTTGATAAGACCATGTGTTAGCCCCCAGCCTAGATTTAAAATCATATAATAACACTCGAAGATAAAATCCGTATCTCCGCGCGCCCATGTAATATCCTCTATATAAGCAATCTTTGATACATGACATATATTATATATTGCGAGCTCCACTTGTTTACCTGTGATGTAGCAGACAGAACCAGCCGCTACCCTGTTGTTGTGTGTAGGTAATGTAATAACATTAACTTGTTTTGAAAGTACAACTGAAGCTTGTAGCTGCATCAGTGCGACGTCGTTGATAAAGCGTGTTTTGTGGTAGTAAGCATGGGTAATTATTCTCCTGACTTGATAACGCCTTTCAAATTGTGTCACTCCTTTAATTGTATGTCGACCTAKAGAAAACTAACAGTTTATTCAAGGGTATAGATTTTTATTCAAATACGTAGCAAGGTAGCAACAAATGTTCGATTGTTCCCTTCCAGTAGTACTTTAGTACCATACAGCTAGAAGAGTGGTTTTTCGTCTACCATGAAAGCACAATAAGTCTTATAGTTAGTAGTAGTTTGTAATAAACCTATACTAATAGTCAAGCTTGTATCCGATTTGATTCTTGGTGTGCAAGTTAAGTCATCAACGCCATGTTGGATGAAAGTCACAAAGCATTCCTCATTAGTTTCTCTTGTTAATTCATCCAACATGGCTGCGATAGCTTTGTTCTTTATTTCTCAGGGGATTCCTGGTCATGTGGTTGCACACCAAGAATAGGTATAAACATATTCATCACAAAAACAAGTTTTTTTTATTTTAATGTTCGTTTTTGTTATGGTAACTAATTAAAAAACGTTTAATTTATTCAAACTATTTGTTAGCTATTCGGTTATAGTTTATATGTCTAAAAGTTATATTGACTAGTCTATTACTTATTGGTACTAACTAGTTGGTCTATTTCTTTTCATGGTTGACGGAAAACCACTATACTGTATAATGCATAGGGCATTACAAGACCGCAATGCATAGTTGCTATTGAACTCCACGTATGCTGAATTACAAAATGACAATTATAAACTCATTGGTTTCCACTAAATCGGCGTCTGAAGGTGAATATTGAATAATGAATACGGTTCAAAATTGACTGGGAATAATGAATAACTAAATAAAACTCCTAAGGAAAAATAAATAATGAAAAAATCAAAAAGGAATAATGAATAATGAAAAAAATCAAAAATATCATAAAGAATAATGAATACCAGGACAATATATACAGAATAATAAATAATAGCAAAAATATATAATAGTACAATGAATAATGGGAGAAAAATAAAACACGAATACAGAATAATTGGCATTTTTAAATATTCATTTTAAGACCCCGACACTGATGTTCTCAGCTGTAAGGAGCTGGTATAGTCACTCTCAAACCATAAAAACGCCTTTTGAAAGGTGGTAAAGCCACCAACAATGCATTTCGATCTTCAGTTCCCTCAGTGTCCAACGTTTTCTGAAAGTGCTGTATACCAACACCATCATAGATGACAGTGTCAGGAAATTTATATTTTTTGTCTTTTGTTTTCTTCTTTTGTTTTAAACAAGCCTATTTATTTATTTTTTTCCAAAAGGTGAAGTCACCCAGGGCGGAGGCTACTCTAGGTTAAGGTCGGTTAATCATGGACTTCGAACGGCTAGTTTGTTATTCTTTACGAGTTTGTAAGGTTTCTTGTGATTGGAGGAATAAAACAATGCTCATTGTCTCCAAATTCTCAAATCCTAATGTTTTCTTTATATTTTAACAGATAGCTAGTAGACCAATCGGATAAGATCTCGCAAAACCGTGAAGGGCTACCCCAACTATGTTACAACTAGTGAACGTAAAAAAGTCTTACCAACAACAACGCGCCAAGATGGAACATAACGAAACCGGTTGAAGCAGTGAGCAGCAGTGAGGACCCAGTCACGCTTAACAAGCGATCCACCGCATATATGGTGTCCGTTATATTCCAGAGACACCTGCCAAGGCCACTCGTGAAGGTTTGCGTTTTGACCCTTGATAACTCGAGTTTCTATCATATCAACTTTATCTACAAAAGATTTGATGATTTATATGAGATTAAATATGAGGGAGCAAGTTGAACTTCCTCTCCAYATCTCACTCTTTTATTTTATTCGTTCACTGGRGTTCCTGTGTTGTGATTCCGATTCGAAATTTGGGACCGAAAAATTTGAATTACAACAGAGGAAGTCAGAGCTAAAGCAGAGATTTAGTGCAAGTATAGCCACAAAGATAAAGAAGAATACCTTCGATGTCTCCCAAAGTAGCGTTGACACTTTCCTCTGCAGAAGATCGCAGTATGACACATGAAGCAACCGTCTGAAAAAAAATGCGGAATATTTGAATGACAAGTGAATGTTTGATTTTTTTGCCAAAGCAGTGCACGTGATYATTAATGAAATTCTCGCTACGTCCGCAAGTTAGTTCTAAAAATCAGGTCAATTARAGTGCTCGTACTTAAAGCGTGAATCAAATAGTACTAATTACTACTAAATTTGTAAAGGAATTTGTATAATTTATCACCTATTTTGTAGTATTTTTTAGCGCATTAAGTGCGAGCACTCTAATATGAAAACTTTCGCCAATGTGCTAAAAACATACGATCGATAAGTAAACTTCGGCCGCTAGCATTAATAACAATTGGCTGCCCTGACTCAGAGTAAATCCCATTGTTTAATATTCAAAATCCAGCTCGACATTGCATTGATATTTCATTGGACAACTTTGAAAATAACTGAAAAAAATGTTTACAAAAAGCACTATTTTTAAATAGACTTATCTGCCAGTATAGTTCCATATATAGCTATTTCAAAAAAGGTTGTCGGATAAAATGGCGATTGTCAATGGTCGAACGGCAATTGCACGACCGAAATTAGACATGGGTTTTGCTAGTTGAAAGGCAATAACAACTGATTTGCACTGTAAGATGGTCTGTGGTAAACAATGGCTCCTTTTAGTCTGTCCTAGGTGAAACCAATAAGTGAAATTTTTTTATCAAAACAGTGTAGCCATAGTCCCTTTCGGTCGTGCAATCYCCCCTCAACAATCGCCGTCCCGTTCCATATCAATTGCTTCGGAGAAAAATTCATTCGTTTGCCAAACTTTTGCTRACCATATATGGTAATCTTAACTTATAAGGAAGTACGTTAGAAAGTTTTTGTCCAGTTTTTTTTCMWYYTTT